TCTGTGCAGAGGCACTGAGATGTTCCCGCCTCACCGGTGCTCCGAGGGCTGTGGCCTAAGGCAGGGCTGGAGTCGGTCTGGGCCCGGCTGCACTCGCCCTCTTTCCTCCTGTCCAGGTGGGTCCTGGGCCTTCCGCCCCGGATGCCCACTCGGCCCACCTTCCCCAGGCTGTGCCAGGGATAGACCTTCTGGCAAGGCCAGTTCGGGCCCTGGGGTGACTGAAGCCCCGGGAGATGTTCGGGGCGCTGGGCCTGGGTCTGCCACGCTCCCGGCAGGATGATGCCACCCGCAAGGGTCCCAGGGGCTCCATTCTGAGCGAGGAGGCGGGAGGCCTGGGCGGCCGCTGGCCTGGCAGGTGGTGGAGGCATGGCGGAGGGGCTGGCCTGGGAGCCCCTGTTAACGGGTTCACCTGCTAGCCGCCACCCCAGGGCAAGCTCACCTTCCTCCAAATCCAGGAAGGGTGAGGTTTTGCCCCTTTGTCTCCTGGGTGCAACTGGGCCAGGAGGAGAGGTGCGAGTGTGAGAGCATCCAAGGAGGGCTTGGGGTGGGGAGGCTGTGAGGCCGCCCTTGGACTTGGCCCAGCGAAGATCAAACAGTGGGTCCTTTTACCCATCCGGCCCCGTTCTGGGCCCTGGCCCTAGAAGTGGGTGGGGCAGGGGCACCTGCTGAGTCTGCCAGCCCACGGGGACGTGCCTCAGCCTGGCCTCCTTACACTCACGTGCCCCGGGCCCCCTGTGTCCACTGTCCGAGCAGTCGTCTCCCCACACTGGACATCAGGGTCTCCTGGGCCAGGACGCCTGCTGGGAGCGCCCAGCCAGGCCCGGGAGGTCACACAGGCACCTGAGCTGAGGGCCCACAGTGTGGAACCCGTCCCTGCCTGCCCGGTCTGGGAGATGGCTGAGTCGTGCTCTGGTCCCGGGGCAGGTGGCTGGGCGGTGGAGAGGGAGGGACAGAGAGGGGTAGCACCAGGCTGGCTGGCCACTGACCCCGCTCTGCGCCCAGGTCCGGTCTGGGTCAGGGCCGCCTGAGGCCACCGCCGTGTTCGGCAGCCCCAGACCCGGGGGAGCAGGCAAACCTCCTCTTTCCCGGACATGGCAAGGTCCGCTGCCCCATGGTGGCTGCCGGCTGGCCACGGTGGCCCCCACCCTTCCACTCCCGGAGTCCTGAACGAGTGCCCCTGGGTGAGGTGGACCCGGCCAGGGGGTGCCCCAGAGAGAACTCGGCCTGGCCACTGACCCTTGGCAGGGCAATTCTTGGGGGCCTGGGGGGATACAGGAGTTCCTGGGTTCAGGGCTTGGTGCCTGGACCCTGGGCGGGGGCAGAGCGCACTCACCCACAGGGTCCCGGCCCGTGATGTGAACTGGCTCTCGGCATGGGACCTGCCCACGAGGTGGCAGGCAGGTGGGGAGGGTGCAGGCTGGAGGGTCTGGGCACCTCCCTCTGGGCCTGGGGGGCTTCTGGACCCCCTAAGGCCTCAGGAGGGTATTCTCCTCTCTCGGGGCTGAGCAGTCCAAAGGGTCCCCCAGCCCCTGCCCGGAGCTCAGCCTGCACTGGCAGAACCAGAGCTTCTCACGGATCCTGGGTCTTTGCTTACACACCCAAGGCCCCCGCTCTCAGACACCCACTCCCAGGCCTGCTCCCCGGGAACCTGGGATCCTCTCGGGAGATGGGTCCCTGGGAATCCTGGCCTGTGTGCGGAGCTGTAGCCCTCCGGCTAGGGGCTGAGGGGCTTGGCCGTGCCCCAGGCAGGCCAGTCGCCTGAGCTAAGGGCACCCAGAGAGCTGGTAGAACCTCATTCCTGGTGTGTCTGGGAGCGTGTCTCTGGGAGAGATTAGCCTGTGATTTGGGGGCCAGAGGAAAGCGGGGTTGGGGGCCCCATCCAGCCCCCGGGAGGCCCAAATAGAAGAAAGAGGTGGGGGACAAAGTCACTCCGCTGGAGCTGAGCCGTGACCCTCTTCCCCTGCCTGAGGACATCGGCGCTCCTGGCTCCTGTGCTTTTGGACCCAGACCAGGGTCTACACCTCCTCAGGTCTTCGGACTTGGACTGAATCGCACCCCCCGGTCTCCTGGGGCCCCAGCTTGCAGACGGTGGACCGTGGGGCTTCACGGCCTCATAACTGCGTGAGCCCATTCCTAGAATAGATTTCCCTCACAGGCATCTATACACATATCCTATCGGTCCCGTTTCTCCGGAGAGCACACAGGGGCTTGTAGACAACCCCGAGGGGTGGCTGATTTCAGACCCTGGGGCTCGGGGACTCAAGTGGGGGCAGGGCAGAGAGGAGGCTGCTACCCGGAGGCGTGGGCCTCGGGGAGGGGGCAGCCTGGATGCTCTGAAGGGCCGTTCTATCAGCAGACCAAGAATTAGTAAAATAATAGAATATCAGGCAAACGTCGAGGTTCGGGAAAGACTAATAACAGAGGTAGAAACCCGGGATGGTTAATCGAGACACAGAGACAAGGCACAAATCAACACGGCAGGAATGAAAAAAAAGTCTCCAGACATCCGAAGGATAACGAGAGGAAACCGCCACAAAGAGATGGGGAATTTCCCAGCAAGCCCAGCAAAGTGGATTCAGGAAGAAAAAGTCTGAGCAGAAGCCGGACCCGTCGACAGATCTTCCCACCGCGGCACCACAACGTGGTCTGTTTTCCTGGGGGTCACTGACTCGCCGTGTCCTGCACGTGTGCAAAGTGTTTGAATGATAAGATTTCTTTACATAAACTGGAAATTTTAGACTAGTTTTAGATTTACAGAAGAGTTGTGAAGGTTCCCATACACCCCCCACCCGGCTGCCCTGTTGTTAGCATGTCATGTTAGCGTGGAACATTTGTCACGGTTAATGAACCAGTGTTGACACACGATTAACTGAAGTCCGTGCTTTATCCCATTTCCTCAGTTTCCCCCAAATATCCTTTCCTGTCCCAGGACCCCATCTGGGAAGAGCACGACAGTTGGTCGTCAAGGCTTCTCAGGCTCTCTGGGCTGTGACAGCTTCCCAAATGCTCCTGGCTTTTGCTGACCTTGACAGTTTGGAGGCCTGGGCAGGGATCTCGTAGACCACCCCTCTGCTGGGATTTGGCAAAAAAAGCCGGGCGTGACTATGGCTTAGATGAGACGGGAGTTTGTTTCTCTTTGATGTAAAAGCCCAGAGGTGGTGGCTGGGGCCCATGTGGGGCCTCGAGGCTCGCTGGCCCTCCTGCCGGTGTCACCACCGTGCATGGCCTCTGCCCCAGTTGCTGGCTCCACCAGCACCAAGGACAGGGGCGAGGGTGCCCCTCTCTCAGAAGGCTTCCAGGAGGATGCGGAGGTCACCACACGTCTTCTGTCTAGACTTAGCCACGAGGCCAGGATCGGCTACCTGGGAAGCCGGGAATCGCAGTCTGCATTCCGCGTGGCCGTGTCACTGGCTCACACTGAGCCCCACAGACAAGAAGGGGAGGCAGCTCGTGCCCCTCCCCAAGGACGATGACCACAAGCCCCGCGCCAGGCCCACAACCCCCCCCAGCCGCGCCCCAGCCTCTGGGTCTCGAGGAGCTTTTCAGAGTGCTGAGACCTGAAGCCTGAAGCCAAGGTGTCCCCTCCCGACGGCTGCCGATGTCCTGGCCGGAGGCTGTGTGCAGAAGAGGAGCAGAGGCCGGGCAGCCTCACTGGGAAGTGGCAGCGCAGGCGGAGGCCCTGGCGCACAAGGGACCAGGACGCTCTCTGGGGGGGGAAGGAAGGGGCTGGCCCGGTAGCCCCTGGTGCTGGAGGCTGGAAGTTGCTCCCTGGCCACTGTCTTCTGTGGCCGATCTCCCCAGTCACCCACAGTCCAGCCACCGCACAGGCCCAGAGGCCAGGACGACCCTCCTCTCCTTCCACGTGAGGTCAGCGTCCTCTGGGCCACGGCTCTGCGGCCCCCAGGTTCCAGGCCCTCCAGGGCACACCCTGACCCCCGCTAGTCCGTGCCAGAGATCCGGGCAGACCCTCCCCGTCCAGCGGCCAGCTGGGTCCCCACACTGGGCGGAGGCGGAGGCAGGCCACTGCGGAGGGGGGGTCAGCAAGGGCCTGTTTCAGTGGCTCACAGATGAGATACCTGGGGGGATCCCGGGTTAGAGAGGGACAGTCAGAAGATCTCGAGGGGAGGTGGAGTGGGGATGTGGGGTGCTGGGGCTCCCTTGACCCGTGGCAGGAGCAGAAGGGAGCCAGTGGCAGGTGGGGAAGGAGCCAGTGGAGTCCCAGGGGTGGTTGGAAACCCAGGCCTGGAGTCAGGACAAGGCTGCAGTCACAGGTGGTGACAGAATAGGGGGAGGGAGGGGCGGCTGGAGGCCTGTGCCTGGAGGCCCTGACACAGAGGAACCAGATTCGTTAGAGGCTGCAGAGAGGCGAGGCCGGAGGGGAAGCAGGAGGGCCGTGGGGTGAGGCCTGGGGGAGGAGACCGGCCACCGGGATCAGAGGTCAAGGGAGGCCACGGAGGTTATGGGCCGGCAGGACCCAGGCTCTGCCTACTCCTGGAGAGAGGCGCGTCCTTTCCCGTGTGAGAACGCTGGGCACCGACCCCCGCTGTCCCAGAGCCACGGGGACAGTTGTGCGTGGGACTTTGCCTGGCCATGGGGGATGGAGGCTGAGAGGCTTGCTCGGCCCTAATGGACGCTGGACTAGAAGACGGGATCAGGACAGGTCGGGAGGGGAGAGGCCGAGAGGTGGGCGAAGCAGGGGCCTCACTGCCCAGGCTGGGTTCCCATGGCCGAGACCTGGGCTCAGGGCTCCGTCCAGCTCGGCCACAGCTGGCCCCTCAGCCCCGAGGTCCTCTGGGCCTCAGGCGCGTGGCGGGGCTGTGGACCAGGGTCGCCGGCTGTAAGGATTAGAGAAGAGGTGGTGTGGGCACCGGGCAGGGAGCCAAGCGACGGGGCTGCAGGCGGCCGTCCTGCTGACGCCAGTCCGACGCGGCGTGGTGGAGGGCGGGGCTGGCTGCCCTGCGTGGCGTGTGGGGGGCGGGGCTGGCTGCCCTGCTGTCCGGCAGACGATGAAGTTGGGGTCTGCGCGGCGGTCCCAGCACCTCCCCGCAGGCCCGGGCCTGAGCTCCCCGTGCCCTGCGGTGGGTCTGACCTCGCCCAGGGCTCTGAAGACCCAAATCCAGGCCTGTAACAAGCGTCCAGAGCCAGACTCGGAGAAGGACGGGGCTGGCGGGGGCCTAGGAAGGGGCTGCACCGGGCTCCCGGCAGGGCTGGGGCAGGGGCACTGACTGTCTCTACACCCTCAGGGTGAGCACTGCTCGGAGGAGCCTGTGTGGCCAAGGTCACTGTCAGCGGACCCAGGGCGTCCTCCCCAGCCCACGGCTCCTGCCAAGCTCGGCAGCGCAGGCCCAGCCGGGGCCCCGCTGCTGGGGAGGGGCTGCTGGCCTGGGCTCCCTGGGGCGGCGTTGGGGGCTCTGCCTACAGCCCCTGTGGCTCATGCTTGGCCTGGCTGGCAGCCCTCACGGGAAGCACCGGGGAAGGCCACCATGTCCCTAGCACTACGAGCTGCACGCAGACGCGGCTTCCAGATCACAGCGCCCTGTGTGGGCGACCACAGCACCTCTCTGAGCCCGGACGGAGCGGGACCCTCATCTCTATCCAGACGGGGGCTGGGGGCTCGGGGGCTGGTCTTTCCTCCTTTCCTCCCGGGCTCAGAACCGAGTCCGTGTCAGTCCCCGTCCCCTACCTAGGTGTGGCCCGTGAGTCCCCTTCCTGGGGACACCCACATGCACATCCCCACAAGCATGCACACACACACACACACCTGCACACACACACCTAGGTGCCCACGGCCACTTGTTCTTCACTCAGGGCTACCCGCGTCTGCAGCCCTGGGGTTCACGCCCCTCCGTCTCTGCCCCGGCCCCTTCCCCGGAGCGCGGCCGGCCCCCTCCCTCCATGCCTCCCGCCCCTACTCCTCTTCCCCTCCACCACCAGGTGGGGGTCACCTGTCCCGCATCTGTTGAAGGATGACGTGGCTCCTCCCCCAGCCAGGCAGGGGAGGGGTGGGCGTGGGGTGCCCCTCCCCCTCCCCAGAAATAAACAGGTCAGGGGGTTGGGGCTCTGAGCATCTTGACCTGCAAAACGAGCACTGCAGGGTGAGAAGAAGGGCCGCACGCTCCCCACACACGTGCTGCGCCCACGCCCTGTCCCGGCCCCCCAGGGCTCAGCCACAACCGTCTCCAGATGGCCGGCTCTGGGCGGGGGCAGCTCCCTGCCCCGGAGCCACCCTGCCCACTCGGCCCGAGAAGAGCCAGGCCAGGACAGGGTAGGCACGGATGCTGCGGTGGCCTCCCAAGGGTCCCACCCCATGGCGCCATGGGACCCGGCGGCACAACGGGCACCAGCGTCCCCGAGCCCCAGGGGCCTTGTGGGAGGTGAGACCTGACACAGGCCCCAGAGACACGGGGGAAGGTCGGTGTGGGGACGCCGAGATCAGGCCAGTTGGACAAGCCAGAGCGGGGTCTGCTTCTGGGACAGCCCCGGCCTTCTGCTGCCCTCCCCAGCCCAGACCCAGGGCCGCTGTGCCACTCAGCCCAGCCCTCCCCCCGGGACAGAGCCAGGGGACCCCGCCCGCTGAGGTGCAGTTGCTCTGGGGGACGTGTGCTGTCTAGGGTCTCAGAGGCCCAGTAACTGACGGAGTGGAAAAAACCTGCCTCCCAGCTAATCCACACAGACCTAAGAAATCCAATAACTTCCTTGAAAACAAAATAGCTCCCGCCAGGGCGTTCCTCCCTGAGCCTCAGAGCATCCCGCCCCCCGGGGAGGTCCTTCCAAAGAGAAACAAGAGACAGCGTGTCTTGGGTTGGAGGCCAGTGTGCACGTACGTGTGCACGTGCAGCTGTGTGCGTGAACACGGTAGAGACGACGTTTCAGCGCCCGCTCCCGCCCCTGCAACAGCCTGGGGAACCGGAGCGTCCCCGCCGGGGGAAGGAGGTGGGCGGTCAGACCCTCCCCGCGGTCCTGCGGGCGCCCAGGCCTCTTGGTCCCCGGTCTGGTTCCACAGTGGCCGGAGCCCCTCCGCTCGAGCCCACTCCCGTTTCTAGTCTGCCCGGAGGACACCAGAGGTGGTCCCCAGGATGGCTGCCCGGGAGGAGCCCTGGGTGCCCCTTGTCTTGCTGTCAGCCACGGGTGGTGGGTGACACTGGACACCCTGACATCCAGGCCTGGGACAGTGCAGCCTGGGCTCTGGCCGCCGGGCACCCTGGCCTCGCAAGCCTTCTCCAGCAAGGTCACCAGCGAAGAAAGAGGGGTGTGATGGCTCTGGGGTGCTCCAGGGCAGGGGTCAGGAGGGCCCTGCCTGCTGGGCTGGTGGTGGGCCTGTTCTCCCTCCGGCTCCTGGGAACCGGTCAGCTGACAGGGGGGCGGGGCGGAGGGAGCCTGGCCTGTCAGCCCCCGCACTTCCCCTCTGTGCTGGGATCCAAGCCCCTCGGGTCTGGCTCCTTGGCCAGGTCAGAGGGCCTGCAGAGGTGGGCAGCTTGGTGGGGGCCCCTTCCCAGGCCGAGATTGACCCTGGAGGCCTCACCAGCCCCGGTCCCTGGGAACCTGCCCCGTGGACCCGCCTGGAGGTGCACAGAGCCCCGTCCACACAGCGCTTCCCCTTCTCTCTTCCCAGCAGAGGTGTCTGGGCTCCTTGGGAACTGGGAGGACGCATCTTCTGGTCCTCCCCAGGCCCCAGGGTGAACAGAGGGACTCCCCAGGTTACCCTGTCACACCTGGACTGGGTGGCCCCCCAGCCACGTGACACCATCCTCCTCAGGGGCCCTATGTCCTCACTGTCTGTGTCGGGAGGTCCATTGGGTGACTCTTCGGGAACCAGGCAACCAGGCCCAGGTTACCCTCTGAGCGGGGGCTACTGGGAAAGGTGCTTCCCCAGGGGCCAGAGTGGGCGCTAGGCCTCAGGACCCAGAAGGGAGGGCAGAGGGCAGGGTGGCAGGGGCTCCAGCTCAGCTCTGCACCCACAGATCCCGTTCCCCAGGGCTGACCACTCAGGACCCCGTCACCCTGGCCCACCTTCTCTCTACATTCCTCTTCCAGGAAACAGGCAGCGTCAGCTCTGGAAGCGCCCAGGGGGCTGGTCCTGGGCCCAGCAGGCCCAGATGGTGATGGGGGCTCTGGGGCCAGGATGAAGAGATGAGCCAGCTGCCCACAGGGCCTGAGGCCACGGCTTGGGGCCCACAGCGGGGGCCGCACGGCTCCAGCCAGCAGCTCCCCGGGTCCCATCATGAGCCCCTCAGGGGCCAACATTCCAGGACGAGCTCTGCCTGGTCTGCCCTCCCCCCGTCCAGCTCAGCCACCCACCATGGGACCTGAGCGGGGAGGTGGGCACTGAGGGTTCGCACAATCCCATCCCCACGCCCAGGCCCTCCCTTCCCCGATGCCTGGTCATGGTGTCCATGTACGGGACGAGGGGGTTCAGGCACCTGCCTCCTTGCCCTTTCCTGATGCCGCTTGGGTTTGATGGTCAGGCCACATCGGGTGGGTCCGTATCCACTGTCCATACCCACGGGATGCCTTACCTAGGTCCCAGCATTCTGCACAGGAGGGAAGCACGCAGGGTGGGTTCCTGCTGTGGACACTTCCATCCTCATGCAGTCCCTGTCCCTGGAACTGTGGGCTGGCTTCTGAGGACTGATCACAGTGACAGCGGGGGCAGTGCCCGGAGGATGGCTTCTATCTCAAAGGACGCAGGGAACGTTTTCAACCTGGCAACATGCGTATGGTGCCAGGGGGGCAGGAACCAGAGGTGCAGGGGGGATTGGTCACTAACACATTCTGTGACCTACCTCCTGTCCGGGCAGGACACCTGCTGCTCCTTCCAGGGGACACAATAACAGAATTAGAGAAGGTGACTGCCCCCAGCAAAGGAAAGGATTCTCCTATTGGCTACTGACCCCAGGCAGGAGGGGAAAGTGGGTTTCTGTACAGAATGAGGGCCAGGAGAGCCGCGTGGGAGCACAGAGCTCCCTGGGGGCCGCCTGGTACTTCCAGGTCTGCAGGACAGGCTGGTGGGACCGTGGCCACCAAAGACTCAGCCACCTGGGGGATTGAGAGGGGGGATCGTCCATCAGGCGCGAAGCCAGACGGGCTGCGGGCGGGGAAGGCGGAGCGGGCAGTGGAGAAAGGAGGGCCCGCGTGTCGGCCGCACCCCAGGCCAGGCCCCGAGTGAGGCTCAGCAGCCTGGCCCGTGTCTCTCTGCTCGTGCGAGTGTGTGATTCCTTCGTGATTTTTCCTTCTTCCCATTACAGTTTTATATACATGTCGTTGGAGGTTAACTTTATAATCGTGGTTTTTTGGAAGCAGAACCTTCCGTTGGGCTGCGGCCGAGTGTGGGAAGTAGGTGCTTCCTCTGGGCGACAGCTGCAGGGGCGGTGCGGTGCCTCGGGTTAGGAGAAGGCGGGCATCTCCTCACCTGCACAGGGGATCCCGGTCTCTTTAGGGGGAAATCATCCCCTCCCCCTGTTGCTGGGAAGATCGCGTGGGCCTGGAGGGGAGTTAGAAGGCCGCCGTGCAGGGGGGCCGTTCATCAATTCAGTGCCTTTCGGCCCAAATCTGCCCTCCGTTACCCTTCGTTTATGAGAACTTCACGCCGCGAGCAGCTCTCTGCCGCTGGCCTGATGTTCGTGTAGGGGTCCCCTCGTGGGCTCCCGCACCCCCTCCTCCTGCGGGACCTGCGGGGCTCAACCCGCAGCGGGCGTCACGCGCCCCAGTCCTGACGCGGGTGGGTCCTGTCTACCGTCCTCAGCGCCACCGCAGACGACTGCTCTGCCCTCCTGACTTGCTGTTTTTTCTTGTGACAGTTTAGTAGGTGTTTTGTTTTGTTTTGGACTTTTCCCGTTTCATCGAAATATTCCACTTGGGCGTGTAAAGGTGTCCACGACATCTTCTTGTGACCGCTTAAATCGCCTCAGGCTGTGTTGTGACGCTGTGTCTCCTATTTGCAGCACGGGTTATTTGTACTTTCCGTCTGTCTGTCTCTCTGCTTCCTCCTTTCTTTCCTTCTTCCCTTATTTCCTCATTTCTTTCCCTTAAGCGGACTTGCCCAAGATCTGTCTACTTGATTAGCCTTTTCAGAAACCACCTTTGACTATGCACATCTGCTCTGTCGCTTTTTCCATTTCAGTCGTGGCCGCTCTGCATTATTTCTTCCTGAGCCACCTTTGGGGTTCACGCTGCTGCTCTTTCTACATTTCCTGAGCGAGAGGGTTAACCCTTCCTTGGTCTCCGCCGTGAACACACGCAGACGAGGCCGTGGGCCCCCCTCTCCAGCTGCAGGTATGTTTCACAAGCTTTGATGTAAAGTGCTTTTAATTTGTTTAGGTCAAAATATTTTCTGATATCCATGTGATTTCCTCTCCGGCTCCTCAGCTGTTTAGAAGAGCATTTCTTTTTTTTTTCCCCTTTCCTTTCTTTTTTTAAATTGAAGTATGGTTAATTTACAGTCTTGCTAGAAGGACATTTCTTAATGGCCAGGCCTGCAAAGATTTTTTTAGAAGATTTGATGTATAATATGCTTGTTTGTCATCAGATAATATACTCCTCCATTTTAATCTTTCTCTTTCTCTTTCATCTTTTTGCTCTGTGGTCTGGTAGTTCATCAATTTTTGTAAATACCCTTGTGGGCTACCTTTATGTGTAACAGTCAAAAACTGGAAACACTCGAAATGCCCGTCAGCGGGCAGACGGACGAACAGCCTGCGGTACATCTTTGCTTGGATACGGCTCAGCAGCGAAAAGGGAGGAACCACCAATTCAAGCGACAGTACGGATGCATTGCAAGGTCATTTCTTCCGAGTGGAAGAAGCCAGTAAAAGTGTAGGTTCTGTATGTTTCCACTTACGTGAAACTCTGGAAAATGCAAACTTATCTGTAGTGACAGCAGCCGTTGTGGGGAGAGGGGTCCAAGGAAACTTTTTGGGTGACAAACACGTTTACTTACCTTCCTCGTGATGGTTTCATGGACATACACATACTTAAAACCTGAACAAAGTGTCCACATTAAATGTGTTCAGTTTGCTGTATGTCAGTTTTGCCTCAGTAGAGCTGTTGGAAAGGATTTCCCTGTGTGCTTGGTGAGAAGCGTCCGTCCTAAGGCTGTTGAATGCAGTGCCCTCTCCATACCCATGTTATTCAGATCTCGCTGTCCTTATGGATCAGCACCCCTGCTTGTACTGTTATCTACTGAGGGAGGTGTATAAAGTAACCCCACAGGGATTGTGGGTTTGTGTCTCTTGTGGTTCTGTTATTTTTGGTTTGGTTGTTACAAGGCCATGTTATTAGTCACATACAAATTTAAAATTCTTTTATGTTCTTGATGGATTGATTCTACTATCATTCTCAAATAATCTTTTAATCACTGGTAATTCTTATGTCTTCAAGTCTGTTTGTCCGATACTACTATAACGTTCATTGGGTTAGTATTACCCAGGGGATCTTTTTCTTTCCTTACCTCCTAACACTTCTTTACCCTCTTGTCTTAAATATTTCTCTTATAAAACAGCGTATGATGGAGTTTTTAAAAGTCCTGTCTGATCAGCTTGTTATTTTAAGAGGTGCATTTAGTTAACTTTATTTAATGTAATAACTAATATATTGGGGTTTAGATGTACCATCTTATTTTGTGCTTTATATTTTCCCCACCTGTTTTTACCTTCCTGACACTTCCTTGGATTATTTTTCAATTCATCATTTTCTTTGTACTAATGTGTAATAAATATATGTATATATACGTACCTGTGTATATATGTATATAATTGTGTGCATATATGCATATGTGTATGCATGTATGTATACATGTATATATATTATGTGTCTGTGTGTGTATATATGTGTGTCGGCAGAGTAGACGCGGGGACTTCCCTGGTGGTGCAGTGGTTGAGAATCCGCCTGCCAACACAGGGGACATGGGTTCGAGTCCTGGTCTGGGAAGATCCCACATGCCGCGGAGCAACTAAGCCAGCGAGCCACAACTACTGAAGCCCGCGTGCCTAGAGCCCGTGCTCCGCAACAAGAGAAGCCACCGTGACGGGAAGCCTGCGCACCACAACAAAGAGTAGCCCCCGCTCGCCACCACTAGAGAAAACCCACGCGCAGCAACGAAGACCCAAAGCAGTTAAAATAAAATAAAAATTTTAAAAACCACAGAAACACCAGACACGGGATTTCCTGTGACGCAGCAGCCCCATTTGAGCATACAGCTCTGAGCCGTTTTTACCGGCAACACGCCGACAGCAAATGTGAGGGTTCCCACGCCAGCCAGCTCTCTGGTTCTCCGGCACCCACTGGGGGCCTACAACTCAATTTTGACGCTAGCTACCTGGAGTCAGTGCAGACCCCACAGGTTAGGGGCTCGACCCCACAGGACTGTCCTCACACCAGACACCACTACTTCTCCACCAACTATGAATCGGGCTCCCGTGATCCCTCCTCAGGCTATTTGCTAGAGCAGCTCACAGAGCTCAGGAAAACAGTTTACTTGCTATTTCCAGTTTATTATTAAGGACACACGATGCACTGAGCAGGGCTGGGAGCACATCCTTCACACCCTCTGTGGCGCCGCCTTCTCCCGGGCTGCACGTGCTCACCAAGCCGGAGCCTCTCCGACCGCACAGCTGGGGGGTTTGGTGGAGGCTGCATCACGCAGGCGTGGTTGATGAAATCGTTGCCCGTGGGTGATGAACTCCCTGGAGGTCGAGCGTGGGGCTGGAAGAGCCCCCTGGTCTTGCTGGACACCCGTCCCCACCCTAGAGCTTCGTAGGGGTTCCTAACCACGCTCCCCCGGAACCACTGCTCCGCCTTCCGTCTTTGTGGGTTTCCTGTTCTGGACCTTGCACACAAACGGAACCACACAACTTGTGAGCTTCTGTGTCTGGCTTCTTTCACTCGGTGTCCTCAGGGTTCATCCATCGTGCAGTGCGTGTCAGAATCCTCTTCCTCTCTGTGGCTAAAAGAGATCCATGCTGCGGTGCAGGTTCACAGCCCCCGGAGCTCTCCTGCCGAAACCGGGAACCGGCCCCCGCACGTGGAGGACGACGAGAGACAGCAGAAGAGGCGGACCCTAGAGGTCGGCAGGCGCCATGAGTAAGGGAACAGGGAACGTCCTCACGAGGCTTGTCCTGGGCCGCAAAACGAGTAGCTCTCCGCACCCAACGAATCCGAACAGTTCATTCAGGGGCCTTAGGGGCTTAGGCGGGCGCGTGTGCAGCCCAGGTGGCCCAGCCGCACAGGGCTCTCTCCAGGCTGTGTCCTGGAAACAGCTCCGCGTGCCGGAACTGGGGGAGGCGTGAGGAGCCTCGATCGCCCTGGTCAGCGGCGGTCACGTCCTCTGTTGATGGATGGCTGGGATCTTGTGTGTCCATTCATCTGTTGTGGACACTCGGCTGTCCCCAGTGTATGGCTGCTGCGGACCTCGGTCCCTCACAGCAGGTGCGCCGAAGTTACCAGGAGCAAAGGCTGTGTGGGCACGTGTGTTGTGTGCGCCTGTGCGTGTGCACGTGGTGTCTCTGTGTGTGGTGTGCGTGTGACACGTGTGCGGGAGACCCAGGCAAGGCCACGTTTCAGCATCACTCCCACTCCTCTCCACAGCAGCCTGGAAAACTGTGGCTTCCTCACCAGGGAAGGGGGCGGTCTGACCCTCCTGTGGTCCCGCCCTCTCCCACACCCAGGCTGGCCCCACGGTGGCCGGAGCCCGTGTCCCCTCTCTCTGAGCTCCCACAGCTCTGCAGCCGTACTCTGGCTGCCCTGGCTTGGCCCCACCGTGCACGGTTAAACCCCAGCAAACTCCTGAGACCTCAAGGGCCCTCCCTGCCGGGGGCGGGGCTGCTCCCCTTGAAATGGCCCCCCAGGTGGCGGTCACTGCGTCCACCCAGATGCAGCTCTGTCTTCCCGCCCATGTCACTGCCCTCGGGGACCTCAGAGACCTAGAAGGAACCAGAACTGCGCTAGCTCACAGGTTCCTGGACTCAGTATCCCCAGCAATGTCGTGGGCACAGCTCGGGCTGGGCCCACACGTCCACCCGGCCCAGGCCAGCTGGGTTAGAATCCCACCGCGGGGGGTGGGACGCGGTCTGTGGCCCTTGCCCACGTCTGCCCCTGTCTGGCACACAGCTGCCACACTTCCAGGTCTGCAGGGAGGGCTTGGCTGAGAGAGATGGGGGGCGGAGCCCATCTGGGAAGTCGGGTCTTCTGATGTCTCCGTGCCTCTAAAGATCCAGGTGCCAGCGAGTCTGCGTCCAGGGCTTGGCTGGACCACCCGTGTCCTTGGCCTCAGGGCCCCCCGTTTTGACTCTACAGGGTCTCTGCTTGTCGAAGGGCAGAAGGTGGGGTTCCAGGCGACACTGACCCATCCTGGGGACAGGCTGGTAACCGGGCTGCCCAGAGCGTGGGGAGGGATGTCCAGCCAGGCTCAGAGAGAGGGTGCGGGTGGGATGGGCGAGGGGGTGTCCCGGGCAGCCGGCCAGCAGGACAGCTGTGACAACACTCAGGCCGGCAGGGGTGGGCGGCGTGCTGTTCACGGTGACTGTTCAGGCTGTACTGACGCTGAACAGCTACTCCTTGACTTGGCCAAAGTCAAGCCACTGGGAAAGGCAGGGCCCCTGCGCTCGGAGGACAGGGCCGGGTAGGAGGGTGCAGCGGCGGGAACATCCCGCAGGGCCCCTGCGCTGCTGTCACTGAGGGCCGGGCCCTCTCCCCCTGCCCGCAGGCGAGGGCAGCTCAGGGCAGAGCTTGCCCTTCAGACTCTTAAACGCGACACCTCTCTCCTCCCACCGTGACAAATACAGCAGCCGCAGGCCCGGCCGCACGCTTGCAGCATTCTTCTCTGTCCAGCCCCGGCTGTGCCCTGCAGGACCTGAGCGCCTGTCCCCCGCCCCCCAGCCGTCCTTGGGGGTATAGGCCCTGGGTCCTCACGCACCAGATCATGGCATATGCCACTTCCAAGAGGTGGTTTTCATTTAGCGAGAACGTTGCTGTGAAAGGGCTCAGCAGGGACCTGTCTTCTGGCTTGTGGGTGCTGCCTGCTAGGCCGAGGACAAACCACTCGCCCTGAAGCTTCAAGGGGCTGGGGGTAGGCAGAGTCCAGGATGGCCCAGAACCCCCCGTTGCACTAGGCAATGGCTCCCAGGCTGGGCCTGCCCCGGTCACACAGGCAGGAGCCCGAGGCCGCCCTGGGCCTAGCGGGGACGGTGATCCCGGCCCCTGGCTGGCCTCTCTGGGCCTCGGTTTCCTCATCTGTGCAGAGGGACTGAGATGTCTCCACCTCTCAGGGACGAGAGCAGGGCTGGCCTGGCTGGATTCCCCGCACCCCACTTGGCCGGCCCCCTCCCCCTCCCTCCCAGCCCCTGACCTGGCTTTCCTGGAAGCTCTGCAAAACCGAGCTGGGGACTGTCCGTGGGGGTGAGGTCTGGCCCTTCAGGGCCCTCGACAGGGAGAGTAGTACCCACGGGGCACACCATGGCCCCATCCCGGCAGGGACGGAGGGGAGAGAAGTGGCCATCAGTGTTGCCGACGCAGGGACTCCCCTTTTATGGGCCTGCTTGGCAGGCGGCCCTCCCTGGGGGTGCATCTCCTGCACTTTCCTCCTCAGGACCCTGACGGGAGGAGAGGTGGGTGCAGAGGGCTTGGGGGTGGGCTGGGCAGGGGCGGGGCCCACCTCAGCAGGGGGGGGCATCTGGGTCCCAGCCTGGGGAGGTGGGGTGCCCGCTGGGTCCAGCAGCTCCCAGGGAGGGCCCCGACCTTCCCATTCAGATTCCTGAGAGCCAGGCTCTGCACCGCTTTGGTCCCCATCCCGGGCACCCCACGCTGGGGATCAGAGGCCTGCAGTGTCTCCCCTGCAGCCTCACCCCAGCTGCACTCCACCACCGGTGGAGGACAGAATGCTCCGTCCCAGGACGGGAGCATGACGTTTCCTTGCCCGACGGGTCAGGGCTGGGGCATTCTCGCTGCAGGAACATGGCGCAGAGCCTGGGCCTGCCAGCCTCCACGCTGCTCCACAGTCCCTGAGGCCAAGGTGGGGGTCCCTGCAGTCACAACCCAGAGGGAGGGCAGGGGGCAGGGCAGGCCAGCCTGGCGGGTCCTGGGGACTGGGGGATAGTTGGGGAGGGCGTGGGCAGCCCCCAAAGAGCTCCTCCTCCCCACTGGCAGCGGAGTGCGTGGGTCCTGGGCTCCATCGGATAGCGGGAAGGACCTGTACTTGGCCCGTGGGCTCGTCCTGAGTCACCACCTCCCGCCCTTGGCCTGGGGCAGCCTGTCCTAAACAGGAGCCCCAGCCAGGCCACTGGGAGAGCCCAAGGCCCAGGGCTTCAGGCCCTGGCTCTGTCCCAGGCCCCCTCTCCTCTGGGAAGGGCCTGGCCCTCGCTGGGGCCCTCCCTCCCCAGGGAGTGTCTCCCCATTGCCAGCTGGACGGCTGCCAAGGTCTCTCCAGGTCAGCTGCAGGCCCCGGGCGGGGAAGGGGCGGGGGTCTGGGCAGCCGAGCCCCCATGCCTTGACCTCCCCGGGCCTGGCCAGTTAGCACAACTCACCTGCTTCCAGACTCTGGCCACAGCGAGAGAATTTGCAGACAACAAGCTGGTTTTCCTGGAACTTCCCAAAGGACCCGTCACGCTCCAACAGAAGCTGGGGCGGCAGCTCCCCCAAGACCTGGCCTCCACCTCCCACCCTACAGGCCCCAACGACCCCGCTGACCCCAACCTGATCCTAAACCCCCCCGAGATCGTGCCTAAAACCCGCCCCTCTGCACCCCTCCCGGGCTGGGGGCGCTCTGCCCCCCTCAGGTGGTGCCCTCCTACTGGGTGCTCTGGGGAGATCTTGAGGGGCAGTAGTCGGCCCCTCCACAAGTACGCCCACCCCTGCGACCACCTGCCTTCCCTGGTCAGCAGCGGAGGCCAGGCGGGGTCCCCACCCCACCCCAGGCCTGAGTGGTGCCCTAGGCCCAGGGATCCCACCCCCAGGCCCTGTTCATCTCCCTGGTGTGGGGCCAGCAGAGCAGGGCAGTGCTGGGTGAGCGCAGGCAGCGTGGGATGACCTCCCTGAAGGCCCCCCACGCACTGGGGGAGCTGGAGGTCCCCTCTGCGGTGAGGGAAGTCTGGCCCCCGTCCCCACATTCAGGGGCCTGGCCCATCTGTCCACTGGAGCTCCTGTGTGGACAGGTGCCCAGCAAGAAGGGCCAAGCAGGGGCTTCCCTGGTGGCGCAGTGGTTGGGAATCCACCTGCCGATGCAGGGGACACGGGTTCGTGCCCTGGTCCGGGAAGATCCCACGTGCCGCGGAGCGGCTGGGCCCATGAGCCATGGCTGCTGAGCCTGCGCGTCCAGAGCCTGTGCTCCGCAACCGGAGAGGCCACAACAGTGAAAGGCCCGCGTACCGCAAAAAAAAAAAAAAAAAAAAGAAGGGCCAGGCACAGGGAGTTCCCTGGTGGCCTAGTGGTTAGGATTCGGGACTTTCACTGCCGTGGCCCAGGTTCAATCCCTGGACTGGGAACTCCCGCAAGCCATGTGGCAAGAAAAAAAAAAGAGAGAGAGAGAGAAGGGCTAAGCATAGAGCACCTGGTGGTCCCATAACAGGGCCAGCGATGCACCTGCTGTGGGACCATGGCGCCGGGGGCCTGGGACACGGCAGCCTCACGTCCGGGCGAGGCCAGTGCACTCCAGGTCAGTGCTCCTTGGGCGTGAGCGGCCCCTCCACGTTCCCCAACTAAGACTGCCAGTTAGAGGGTAGTTTCCATAGAGTTTTCAAAGTTTTTCTTTCTTCTAAGATATTAAAAACCACCTCTCATAATTAAAAGGCCCAAACAAATTATAATTAATAAATACCTTTACATTAAAAACGATTCATCTGGGGCTTCTCTGGTGGCGCAGTGGTTAAGAATCCGCCTGACAATGCAGGGGACACGGGTTCGAGCCCTGGTCCGGGAAGATCCAACATGCCGCAGAGCAACTGAGCCCGTGTGCCACAACTACTGAGCCTGCGCTCTAGCGCCTGCGAGCCACAACTACTGAGCCCGCGAGCCACAACTACTGAAGCCCGCGTGCCTAGAGCCCGTGCTCTGCAACAAGAGAAGCCACCGCAATGAGAAGCCCACACATAACAAGGAAGAGTAGCCCCCATTCGCCGCAACTAGAGAAAGCCCGCGCGCAGCAACAAAGACCCAACACAGCCAAAAATAAAACCAAATAAATACATTTAAAACAAAAACGATTCATCTAGAGCTACAATTGTTTCACCCAGTTTTTGAAAATTTAATTAGAGCTTGTTAAACATTTTAGCAAAAGCAAAATGCGTCGCGACGGTAGCCCTCCGTTCCCCACCGCCCCCTCCCATGTAAGGAGCCAGCCGCGGGTGGGGCTGGCCTGCTCTGTGGCCTCGCCCCTTTGATCCCTTGAGAGGTCCTGGCGTGGTCCCTGGGATGCTCAGCTCTGCTGGAAGGACCCTTTCTTCCCCCAGAAGCTCTGAGAGGGGCCTCTAAGGAGCCTGGCCTGCCCACACCCCAGAGCAGAGGCCCTCCTTTCTGTCTGGTGGATGCGGGGCCAGGCATGCAGTGGTCTCTCTGGGGCCCAGCCAGCTCTGCGCTGCGGCCCATGTGACACAGGTGCCCGTGTGGCCTCCAGCTCTGCTCTGCGGGGTCTTTGTCTTCCCCTCTTCCCACCAGCCCTGTCTGCCCTTCTGGGAGGCCGGTGCCGAGGGACACCGGGTGGGCACGGCCCAGACTGGGGTGTCGGGCACAGTCCCTGCTCGCTGTGGACACACCAAGCCCTCCAGGGCTGCGGGCTCCTGCCAGCAACCACCACCCCAGGCCTCCTGGTCCGGACTGGGTCAGCGGGTGCGGAGGGCAGGTGGGCATACAGAGGTGGGGCCAGGGGCCTCTGACCCTGCTCTCCGGGGACCAGGCAGCGGTCCCTCCCGTTCTGTGGCCTACAGCTCACCCACGGAGGCCTGGTCCTCCCCGCAGCCCAGGGAAAGAGGCTGCTGGGGGCATGAAATGGGGCTGGGGTGGGGGTCCAGCTCCCAGGTGCCCCCTCAGCCTCGCCATCGTCAGGGAATGGTGAGCACTGGACCTCAAGCTTCCAGGGTCAGGAACCTGCCACCTGTGTGCCCAGAGGCTGGCATGCAGTGGGCATTTCAGGAATGCTCATCAGACAGACCCTAAGCCTCCCCAAACAGGGCGACTTGGGGCGTTTTCCCAGGCCCGGCTTTGGCCAAGCCGATGACCGGCTCCCTGACCCTCCAGCCCCGGTCCGGCCCAAGCCGGGGGCTGCCATTTGCCCTGAAGCTCTCCCCAGGTTCTCTTGAGGGAGGCTGCCCCTTCTCCTGATTGGGGGGGGCACAGCGGGAGGGGGACAGGCAAGCACACAGTGGTCTGGCCGGGCAGTGTGTACCAGGCACAGGCGTCCACAACGTCCTGGAGACAGCGCTGACTGGCCGTGGCTCTCGCCCAGCAGGGGCGGGGGCGGGGTGAGGGAGGGAGCGGGGCGGGCGTCCTGGGACCCAACAGGGCGCTGGGTGGGTGGGCGTGCGTGGGGGGCAGCACCCTCCCACGTCCCCAGCGCTGTGGGAATTGGCCGATGTCCTCAGCTGTTTAACAGGACGGGTCTGGACAGGCGAGCTCTCGTGGGCAGGGGCCGGAGCTGAGCCCACGTGGACCCTGGCACCGCAGGCGAGAGCACTTCCCTCCCTACGGCCCCCGGCAGCTGTCCCTGCCGGTGGGAGCCCCGGGAAGACCCTGGCTGGAGAGACGGAAGGACAGCTGGATCCCAGAGTGATTTGCTCTGTACTCGCGCCCTTTGGTCTCCGTTTCTCGGGCATCAGATGGTTGCAACCGCGGATTTTCTCTTTGGCGTTTCTTCCACTGTCGGAGACCCTTGGCGAGGGATGGGCGGGTTGGCCAGGACATTGGTGTGTGGAAGGGACGCGCAGTCTACGGGGGGGTTGGGGGTGTGTGTGGCCCTGTCCCAGCACTCGACCCCCTCCCAACAGTCCACAGTCACTCGGAGGGGCCCCTCCAGGCAGCGGTTGGGGGGGCGAGGACATCGTTTCCAGTCCCCGCCTGCCTCTCCCTGGGCCTCGGAGCTCCCACGTTCCAGAAAGGTCTTCTCTACAGGCCAGAGGTCATCTTGTGGGCCCTCATGGCTGGTGACCTTGGGCTGACATTGGGTGTGGGCTCCTGGGGGCAACCCAGTCTGTCCAGGGGTCCCTCCCTCTGCACCTAGAGCTCCCGTGCTCACCCCAGTACTGGCAGGCCTGCTTCCCCCAGATTGGGGTAGAGACCCCCCCACTTTGTGCTTCCTGGCCGCTCACCCACATGATCTCCCCTCAGGGGCACCCGCTGCCCGATGCCAGGAGTGGACCCAGCGCCGGGGTGGTCGGTCCCAATCGCGGGCCAGTCTTGTGCCTTGTCTGGCCCTGCCGGCCCCTGTGGTGGCTGTGAGGGGCAGCTCAGCCTCACATCCTCCTAAGACAGATACCAGCTCACCCCAGGCCCAGGCACGACCCAGGAAATGGAATGGAGCCTCCCTGCCAGCTCCCTTGAAACTGCCTACCCTCCCCAAGGGCCTTTCCTGCCTTGGCCACAGGGCCCCCTGGGACTCTGGGCCCCTGCCTCCCAGGAGGGCGCTCAGTGGTCAGCAGGCAACAAAAAGGATCTGAGGGGCGGGTTCCGCATCTCTCTAGAAAAGGCCGACGTGTCTGGACAAGGCGAGTTCAGGTCCTGGGCCCACCCGGGGCAGCCCAGCGAGGCCAGCACGGCAGGCGTGCACAGAGTCAGGGAGCAGGAAAGACAAGGACAACCACAGCGCGATGGCCAGAGGAGGGAACACTGGGGACAGGGAGTCTGGGCACTCTAGGCCTTGAGAAGGAACCACTCCCCACCCCCACCTCCCTGGGGAGGGCTCTTCACCAGGAGACAAGCCGATGCCCTCCTGGCCCACCCGGGAAGCAGCCCCACGTGTCCGTGAGATGACAGGTGGGCAGAGACCCCGGCCGGGTCCAGCGTGGAAAGGAAGAATTCAGGAGCTGAGACTGACAGCGTTTAATGAAGGCAGCACCCCGAGCTCCTGGCAGCGAGGCGCAGCTTCGGGGTCGGACGGGAGAGAGTCCCCCACTCAGCAAGGGGGCGGCGGGTGCTGCACCTCCAGGGCCTTGGCTGCTTGTTGGTGCAGGGCTGCCGCCGGCCTCACCTCCTCACTTCTGCAGCACAGACGAGACCCAACCAGGAGGGAGCCGCGCGCTGCCAGCCCCCTGCCACACCGCCCCCGCCGGCGCTGCCCACTCACCATCCAGGACGTGAAACTGGTCCGCGGCCTCGCAGAAACCTGGGGGCCGGGGCTGGGGTCAGGGGTGGCGGGGCCGGGGCGCGGGGGAGGGCGAGGTGGACCGCGGGAGACGCAGGGACACTCACCATACTTGGGGAAGAACAGGGTGTGGTCCTCGGTCAGGTTGGCACCCTGGACCCGCTGCTCAAACACACTCAGGAATGATTCGCTCACGGGGAGCGAGCGGGCTGTGTGCGGGACACACGGGGCTCCTGGGCGCCCGCTGGGTGGGTGCGGGCTGGGCGGGCAGGGCGCTCTGGGAGCTGGGCTGTGTGCCGGGGGCTGTGATCTGACCCCTGCCCCCCACCCCCGGTCTCCTCTCTGTCCCCACATCTGGGTCTAACGGCAAGGGCAGGGGAAAGGGAGGGGAGCGTCCATGTGCCCATCCGGGCCCACCCAGACGGCCCTGCGCGTGTGCAGACCCGGTCCCGCGGGGACGTACCGTACAGCTTCACCGACAGCCGCCGCGCCCGCTCCAGGTACAAGATGGCGAAGCCCCGGTAGTCCGTCTCCCCAACGACCACGTCCACCGCCCCTCGGGCGCCTCGGGCTGGGCGGAGCCAGGTCGGGGTCAGCCTCACCCCCAGCCCTGCACCCTTGTCCCCGTGGCCCGCGCCTCACCTTGGAGCAGAAAGCGACCTGGGAGCCCCGTGTCACCGTAGAGCTGCCGCACCTGCCAGCAGATCCCATCCCTGGGGGTTGGGGGTGGGAGGAGGCACAGCAGGCTTGGGGACCCCAAACTGGGTGGGGCCTCCCGGGACCCTGGTCCCAGGGCCGCAGGCCGCTGCAGGGGTAGGGTTGGGGGCCGGGGTGGGAGTCGGGAGGCTGGGTGGGGGCGGGGCTCCGTGCCGGGACTCACAGCTTCCGGAAGGTGCTGACAGCCATGGCTGCACCCTGAGGAGTCACATGCAGTGTGGTGGCCTCAGCCCGGTGGCCCTGCTCCTGCAGGGAGCGGCACGCAGAGGCCACGGCCACAAGGAACCAGGTCCCTGAAAACTGGAACAGGCCCCGTGAGGGCACGCAGGGACGGGGGCTGCAAAGCTGGGCGCGCGCCGCTCCAGCTCCTCCAAGCCTACCCGCTGCGCGTCGAAGTTGGCCTTGGGCTGGATGGCGCTGATGGGGGACGGGGGCCGAGGGGGTCTCTGAGCCCTCTGACCCAAGGAGCCGACGGCCAGGAGCAGAGTCAGGAGGGATGCCGTCCTGGGGGGCAGCATGGTGACAGCAGCGACGGTGACAGGCCTGGGGGAGGCGCAGGGCAGGATGGTCAAGTCCCGGGTCGGAGTCCACTGCCCACTGCTGCCCAGCCGTCCGGCCCGGGAAGTCTGTGTGCATCCCCCACCCCCCCGGCCCTGGGGCAAGCAAACGGACCGCCCCCCACCCCGGCCCTGCCCCTGCCCCGGCCTCCTCACGAACTCAGCCTCACCCTGCACATCTGACCTCGGCCCTGCACTTCCCGGCAGGGCCCTGTCGCCATGTCCTGTGTACAAAGTCCGAGTTGACCTCTGGCTTCTTGCCCACAAGCCCCCACGTGACTTCCAGTGTGGCTGGTGCTCGTCCCTTTGCACATTCATCTCCCTTAAACCGCCAACAGCTCCTTGAAGTACGGACTAGTCTTATCCCCACAGCGAAGAACACTTGTGCCCGACACTGGGAAGCGCCGGAGCCAAGTCTCGAACCGGAGATCTCGAGCCTCGCCCGCAGCCCCGCCCACGACCCACGGCGCTCGGCCGCCGCCCCTACCGGCCGCCAGGGGCGCTGTTTCTGGAGAGACCGAGCAAACACAGGCGCACGAAGAAGCACCGCCCGGGCCGCGGGGCCTGAAGCGCAGGCGCAGTAACAGCCAACGCGGGCTGCTGGGCTCGGCCCTCGACGGCCATCGATGCCTCGGGGCTCGTGACGTTGGCCTGGCGGGCTCGGTCATAGAGACGCGACGGCCGGAGCGGCGACGGAGGGCGGAAGCGGGTCTGCGGGCAGAGGCCTGGCGCCGGGGCGGGGGCAACGCAGCCGGGCGGAGGCGGCCGCGGTGAGTGGGGTCGGCCCGGCGAGCGTCGACACCAGCCATGTCCGAACCCCGGCCCGGACCCCAGCGCCCTGGCCCCGGGGAGCGTCGTCACCCCGCCCCGATCCCCGGCCCGGCCCCCCGGCCCCCGTCCCCAGCTCACCCGGCAGTGGCCGCACTGGCCCGTCGCCCACCTGGCAGGGCTCCCCTAGGCCAGAGGGCAGGGGCCAGGGCCGGCTGGTGTCCCTGGCGGCGTCTGGGGCAGGCGGGCTGGCCCTCGTCCCGCCGGCCCCAGGTCTCTCCTGAGAAGGATCTCTGTCCCATGTTGACAGCTCCGAAGGCTGGGGCAGCAAGGTCAGAGAGGCAGGGTGCACAGGGGTCACCGACCCTTCGTTTCTCGGTCTCAGAGCGGTCACCAGCCCTGCCAGCCAGATGACTCCCTGGGATCCTGTGGGGGGAGGTCAGAGGGACCCGCCCAGGGCCCCACTCAGGACAGAAGGCCTGTCCTGAGGAGGGGGCTTTTGGGGTGAGGGTGGGTCTGGGGTCTCAGGGCCCGCCGCCAGCTCCACCTCAGGCTGGACCAGGCCCGGAAGCTGCCTGTTCCGGGGATGACTTGGCCTTTCCGGGGACCCTCAGGAGTGTGGGGTCCAAGCAGCGTGGCTGTCCAGGAGGCTTGACGGGGCTCTTGGACCCTTGGCCACGGGCGTTCTCCGCACATGCCTAGCCCCGTGGAATTCCCAGCGGGGCAGCTGGCGGGCTGCCTCAGCTCAGCCGCAGGCCCCTGCGCCTCTCCTTGGGCCTGGGGGCTGGTGTCCTCCCTGGTCCAGCTGGCGGCTAAGGGGACCGTGCATGGGTTTCAGGGCCGCCTGGGCAGAATGTCACGATGGACGAGGGGGGCATACCCCTGCTCCCCGACAGCCTCGTTTACCAGATCTTCCTGAACTTGGGCCCGGCCGACGTGCTGGCCGCGGGGCTGGTGTGCCACCAATGGCAGGCCGTGTCCCGGGATGAGTTCCTGTGGAGGGAGCAGTTCTACCGCTACTACCAGGTGGCCCGCAACGTGCCCCGACACCCAGGTCAGCACCTGCACTCCGCCCTGAAGCCCCACTGGTCCTCGTGCTGGTCGAGGACAGCCAGGCTGTGCCTCAAAACACAGGGCCTGGGAGGGAGGCCGAAGGGTGGGCAGGGCTGGCCTCTGAGGCGTGGGGCCCCAGTGTGACACGCCCATACACACACACAGCGGCCACATCCTGGTACGAGGAGTTTCGGCGGCTCTACGACACAGTGCCCTGCGTGGAGGTGCAGACTCTCGAGGAGCACACCGACCAGGTCCTGCACCTTAGCTTCTCCCACTCAGGCTTCCAGTTTGCTTCCTGCTCCAAGGACTGCACCGTGAAGGTGAGGGCGGCTAACCCTGTAGGGAGAGAGGGCCAGGCCACGAGTGACAGCTGGCCCGTTTGCTGCATCCGCATGGGGAGGCCCGGGACCTGGACCACTGGCCTGGATCACCCAGGCTGGGAGGCTGGGGCTGGGCGGCCCTAACTGCCTACAGAGAAGAGAGGGTCCTGCTCGCAGCTGGTCCGGAGCCGGCCCCAAGCTCCACGTACTCACATCCCTCCGGCGGTCTGACAGCCAAAGACAAGGGGCCCCCACCGGATGGCGGTTTCCAAGCACTGGCTCAGCCGAGCCGACCAGGAGAGGGGCCCCGTGCAGGGCGGGATCACGAGGTGCACCTGCTCGGCTCCCCATGCAGATCTGGAACAATGACCTGAGCATCTCACTGCTGCACAGCGCAGACATGCGGCCCTACAACTGGAGCTACACCCAGTTCTCCCAGTTCAACCAGGACGATTCTCTGCTGCTGGCGTCCGGGGTGTTCCTGGGGCCCCACAACTCCTCCTCAGGCGAGATCGCCGTCATCAGCCTAGGTGAGAGTGGGCCGAGGGTGGGCGGCCCTCGCACCGGGGCTGTCCCACCCAGGCCCCTGCTCCATCTCCATCTCTGCCCCGACAACCCCGCCCCTAATGCCCAGCTCCACCCCCCG